ATAATAATAATTAAATAATAATCAATTCAAAACAAAATGAAAGTTTTCATGAAACATGAATAAGATGGCATTAACTCAATTCATGAAAATATTCGTTTAATAACAGTTTTACCTTAAAGGATCGGAATTATAAAAAAATACATAACATAAAATCACGCCATTTATCCTCGAAGGGGTAGGCAGAGGTGGACATTACGGCACTTAATGCCACTGTACAATATTACACCCATTTTCACTATTTGTTATGAATCCCATGTAATAGGGGGTGAGCCTATTGCCATATACTGGGTAGATTTCCTGACTCCGTGCTACTACTTAGAATTATTTAAAAACCCAGTAATACTTTTGCCCGACCCGGGAATCGAACGCAAGACCCTTTGCCCAGCAGTCGCACTTGCGACCACCCTGCCAATGAGGCAGTCAGTAAGCCAAAATATTATAATAATATTACATGCATATTTTAATTTGTAATATGTGGGATATATACATGTTTGTAGCAAATAAAATTTATTTTCCGTATTGTTTGATAGTAGGAATTAATAAGCATTAAATATATTTTACCTTGGGCTATTTTTGAGTAAATTCCCGCTGCAACTGAGTGGCTTAAAACTTGTGCAGCAAGTTTTACCCTCATTTTTTGTTTTGTATTTGGGTCAAGGTGCTCTTTTGTTAGACATGGTGCAAATACAAAGTTAGGGTTGTTGCAATCCAATTCGTAGAACTGCCTGATATGGCTCCATTTAGCGATTCCTGAAGTTAATAAAAATACCATAGTTATTAATTAAGAAGTCAAATTAGGTCATTTTATTAAATTAATTAACAATTACTCACCAATTCCTTGTATGTTGTCAGATGTTATATTGGTTCTGAATTGAATATCGTATTTCATAAAAAGATTTCTGAAGCATTTCAGCAGGTGAGGTGTATCAAATAAAGTTATTATTCTATGATTGCTCACTTCAATGTAGGGATTTTGTACAGAAGCTCCTAAGAGACACACTGCTCTCTTATTGACTCCATCCAAGTCACAAACTGAAGCGCAGATGTTAAGTCCAGCATTAAAGCAATGATTTAAAACCTGAAATGATTTCAACTCAAATTAGTAAGATAGATTATAAAAAAGAATAAATTAGTTACAAAGTAATAAGAAATGCATACCTCCTTAATCAAAGCAGACAATCTGTCAGCTGTGACAAACCCGCTTGATAAATAGTGAGCTACTGGTTGCTTTATTGGCTTCCTAACTCCAACTGCCATAAATACTAAAGCATATGATGCTGCCTGCGGAGATCTACCTTGCGTAGAATGGTCTTGGAATCCCTCAATATGGTCCAGCTTAGAGTTGTACCACAAATTTTTTCTTAAAGACATTTCATCCCACAACAATATATATTCCTTGTCTGATGGGTCTAAGTGTTTTGTCATCTTTTTCAACACTGTAAGTGTGGTTTTGTGTACCCCAACATTCATTTTAAAACCACTTAGAAGGGATTTTAACGTGCTAGGTGCTGGCAAACAAATCATTCGCCTTAATAACTTATAGCATGTTGGTGAACGTTTGTATAGCCTCAATGCTATTATTTTGGCTTCCATGTTCCACCTGCGGCCAGGTTTCTTCCTGTTATAATTTTGTAGTTCTCCTTGCAGCAATAATGCGAATGAAGAACTCATTTTCTTAGAGAGGATTTTGTTCACAGTTTTATTGTTACATATCTCATTTAAAAATGCTTCATTTTTTAAATGCTTAACAGTTTTTTGTAGTCTGTATACTTTGTTCATACTACTTTTTAGTTTCTGTACCAAAATTCTGGTTTTTTTATCTTCTTCTTGTTTTGAAGATTCACAAACTAATATTGCTGTAGAACTGGTAGGAGTAATAATGTTTGCATTATGTTCTCTTAAAATTCTGCATGGACCAGGAACCGGTTCAAACATGGCAGGTTGTTCTGGCACATTAGAAATTGTTGTATCCTGTAAATTAAACGAAAACTTAATTTAATAAAATCTAATACTATAATTCTTTGAATGCGCTAATCTCAGGAACAGTTGGATTTGAAAAATTGGATAGTCTCATAGTTGCATGCACGGTTGGTGTGGTGGCTGGGCAACCGGCTGCCGTGCAGAGTGTTGCGGGTTCGATTCCCACGCGGAACAACACTGTGTGGTCCACAAATTGTTGTTTCAAGTCTGGGTGTCATGTGTATGTGAACTTGTATCTTTGTAAACGCACCCACAACACAGGAGAACGTCCTAGTGGGATCGTCGTTTTTTTTATTTCTTTTAAAAAGTCCATATATCGTTGAGGCTATAGGCTATAAAACATCACGCTACGATCTAAAGGTACCGAGCAGAGCAAACCGCACGGAAATAGCTAGCTATCTATACCATTATATAAATCTGAAGCGTTTATATGTTTGAAAAAATATTTTCTTATTGGATAGTGCGTTTATGGAGTAAGGCCATAGGCTAGCCTATAATTATACCCAGTTTCATCTTAATTGGACAGGTACTTTTCAAAAGATGCTTGTACACACGGCCACACATCAACCTATACAAAACCAGTTTATCCTGGTGTCGCCTCGCATCATCTTTCCGCACATTTAACGTTCAGTTTATACTGGTTATGTAAAGCTCGATGTGTAGCCGTGTGTACATACAGGCAGCAGACAAAAATTATTTGAAACACATTTTTGGGTTGCGTCTAATAAGCAACACTAATGTTTTTTATGCTTTCAATGTTCAGGATTTACACTTCTAGTTATATAATAATTATGTATAAAAAGCTATAATTTTTCATGCAAACTGCATTAAAGTTGTATAGAACAATTTGATTGTACTAACCTTAAACCCGGGTACAGCCGTTCTGAACAAATTCTTCTCAATAAAACATGTGCTTTCAAAATGTTTGCTGCAAAGCAATTTATGTTTCGAATGGAGTTCATTCTGGAATTGTGGTGAAGACCAGGCTTCATTTGGAAAACAATACTTTGCCCATAATTCACACCTGAAATTGAAGAATTGTTAATAATACAAAACAAGTCACAGTCGAAACTTTTGAAATATTAAATATGGAAATGGTTTAAGTATCAAAGTCAAGACATGATGATATTCAATGATTTTCCCCCTTAAAAAAGTTTTGTTATTATAAAGACATACATAAACTCGGAATTTTAATTCAATACCATATTTGACAATTTCAGTGTTGCAACGTTATGACAAGTACTAAATAGTGACCTTGCGAAATTAATCGATATGAAATGGAATATTTCTGGATCGATTCTTCTCGTTTATAATTTTACTCTCGTAAACTACGTACATCAGAAAATTAAATATTTCTGAACCGGTAATTTAGTTTTGAAGATTTAAACGATCTGAGACTTTTCTTTTATAATTGTGTGTGAAATAAATAAAAAAATGTAATCATGAAGGAACATGACAAATAAAACAGATAGATGTATTATGGTAATAATTTATTTTATAAATTGTCGCCGTCATGGCTATCGCTATCACTTTCTGTAACATTTATTATAAAATACACACACTGATTGTTTATCGATTTTTGTGTCTATCACTACACTATTAATGTGGGATCATTATTTCACAAAATGGCAGTAGCTAATGTCAAATCTGGAATCGAATTAAAATTCTGCCTATAAGTACTAAATTTTTGAACTTTATCATTAAAGAGTACTAAATAACATAACATTACACCACGCCTTTTATCCCCGAAGGGGTAGGCAGAAGTGCACACAGAAGTAACACCC